AGTCCTGCTATATAAAATAACCGGTTTCCCTGAATCTCTTCACTAAATATTACCCTGCTCACACTTCAGCAGATCGTCAGGTCCCAAATACCATTCGTCTCCATTCACTCCTTTCAAACACGCTCATGCATACCATATCCTTTATTATTATTATTATTATTCATTTTGGGGTATTTACCATGTTTTTATGTTATTTATATTGTTTATTATGTCATATTAGATCAATTGTGATAGGTAAATAAACCGTAGGGTTGATATTAGTGTAATAGTAAAGCATATTCCCCCACATCACGAGACTCAGGAGCTCATAGCAACTGAGAGTGGCTTAAAAGGCACCTTATCTTTTATGGACAATGTACGGTGTAGGTGCTTTACACAACGAAAAACATTTCTTTTTTCGCTGGAACCATGGCTAGGGCTAAAAGTCAGCAGGTTATAACAATAAATGGAGAAAAAGAAATTAAAATGACTTATGCAGCAAGTAACGCCACCAAACAGTAGCAGCAGGTTGGTGTGGCGACCCTGGAAATTTGAAATTATGCTAGCCGAAATTAGTGCCGGATTACTGATGGAACTGGATAATTTACTGCTGGATTAGTGATGGCCGACCTGTAATCTGAAAAAGTTGAAAACTATATACAATTAACCCTTAACTGTCCAAACATAAATCTATGTTCTCTCGCCCAGAGCTTCAAATATTTTTGGAGAAAAAAAAAAAAAAAGATTAAAATAAAAAGGACATTTTTCTACATGTAATAGGATTTTTTTTTTTTTAGGGTCAGTACTTATAGAGATACAAGACTGCAAAGTTGGCACTGGATGCTCACATGATGGCAAACATGGGAGTCCTGCTGCTTGCAGAAGTGTTACCGATATACCTTTTTTCTTGTTTCTTTTTTTAATTTATATAATTTTTATGTTCTGATAATTACAATTTATAGCAGTTCTTGTGATTTCATAGCCAATCTCTGTTCTGACACTAATATTAGGTACCGAAATAGTACTCAAATAGTCACAAACAAACTGACAGGTGAACATTTTCACCTGCCTTGGTCACTTACTATTGTCTAGAAATATATACATAGTATTTATAGGTCCCAGCAATGTTTTAGACATGCTGGAGTATATATGAAACTCTTTGAAGCATGGTGTAAGATAAGTGTCACTCCACTGCTGACAGTGCAGCAGTGGAGTGACATCTGATGCTCATGCACTGCCTTGGCTTTATTTGTTTCCACTGTTACTCATTAACATGTCTGTCTGTCTGTCTGCACATCTGTTCGTCTGTCTAGCTCTCTCTGTTTATCTGTCTCTGCTTATCTATCTTTCTGTGTCTCTGTCTGCTTGTCTCTCTTTCTGTCTCAGAGAGAGCCACTCATGAACCAACAGGTATTACACACGATGCAGAGTCATCAAGTCTGAGTCCTGAACAAGTGAAAATGTGTATTACTTGCCAGTCATGCTTATTATGCATGATATCTACAAGCACAGTATAGCACTTTGTCTGGATTTCTTGGGTTATCCTAGGTAATTTACACTATGTATAATTGTATTTATGTGTACCTGTGAGATGGAGACAAAGATAGACAGAGACAGATACAGACAGACAGACGGAGATAGAGACAGCCATAGTCAATTCAGCCAGCCAGCCTACCAAACACGTATTACATATTCCAGAATTGTTTCTCTTTACTTAAGGCATAAGTTATAAGACATTCTAGCAGGATGACACTACCACTGGTACCAAAATTGAGAGGATGTTGCACAAATGTTGTACGTGTGTTATTATCGAGGTTTTTGATATTTCCTCAACCAGTTGTGGCCACATCCACCTCAGAGCCATTAAACTCAAGATCAACATCACTTTCCTCTTAAAAAGGGAATGTTAACCCTTAAACGGTCTAAACGTATATGTACTTTCTTACCAATAGCACTCCAAACGTATATATACGTTCTATTTTTCCTGCCTCCAAATTTGGCACGATTGGCCTGAGATGCCTGGTCAGCATAGAATGGGTCTTAACACTCGTGTGCACCATATTAAAAAAATCTGGGACCACTTAATACCTTGTGGGAGCACGGGTTAAAATGAGCGCCAGCTAGAGTAAACAGCATGACAAACACCAAGGATTCACTGATGTCATGTCATATTAACACTCCCGTTTTAAGAGGAAAGTGATGCTGACCCCAAGTTTAGTGGCTTTGAGGTGGATGTGGCCACAAGTGGTCGAGGAAATATCAAAAACCTCGATAATAACCCATGAGCAACATTTGTGCAACACCCTTTCAGAATGTCTTATAACCTATGCCCTAAGTAAAGAGAAACAATTCTGGAACGTGTAATAAGTGTTCAACTCCAAAGTTTTGATAGCTGAGTAAGTTTCAAAGGTAATGAACTAGATCTGGTCACAATCATGACCAAGTACAAAGGTAATGAGCTCAAGGTAGAGCTGGTCACAATCATCACAAGTTTCAAAGGTAATGAATCGTGAACACATGATTACAATCATGAACAATTTTCAGAGTAATGATCAGTTAACAATCATTGTAGGGAATTCATCCATTGCCAACAGATGTTGTTAGGTGCCTGTCCCTCCTTGGCAGGACAGCCAGACAGCCACTGCAAACAGCAGCAAGTTGCCCCGGGATCTGTTGTTTGCAGGAGCACCATCGACCCTCCCCAAGAGGTCGAAGAGGCCAGCGACTCTGCTAGTAGCCCAAGGGAGAGCCGCCCTGGGGACGTGTCAACGTCCTGGTGGACACGAAGTTGATTGAAGATCCCAGGCCCTCTGTAAAGGTGAAGGAACGGCAGCTGTCACCTATGTCTGCTGGGAGGGGCTGTTGATTGTTGCCACCTGGAGCCTCTGGGTGCCCGACACCCACCGTGTGCACGGATGTTGAAGTTTGAGGAACTGAGTGCACACTGCCTGTGGCACACCTGACAACTGCCTTGCGGTCAAATTCCACGGCGCTGTCCCTGGAGTGCCATTCGCTGACGTGGGCTGGGAGGGAAAACGTACCCTCTACAGTTGTGGTGGTGCTAGGAGTTGGGTGGGTGAGGCGGGGGAGTTGAATGGTTGAGGCACGAGGGTGAGCGGTTATGAGAGGGTCATTGTTTACTACACACAGGGCAAGGCCTGGGAGGGGGGGGGGGGGGGGCACTTCCCTACACACTGATTGTGCACTGTTGCTCACACTGTCCTGCCTACAACAAACACAACATTCATTCATTTCCCATGAAGATCATGAAAGATATGGGCATGTGACTCGCCAAAACCAACAAAGTTCACTTCATCTTCACCCACACACCCAGCTCCCTCCCCCCCCCAGTAGCATGGGGGAGGCACTGCCTGGTCCAAACCTGGCACTCTCACTACACCCAACTCTCACAAACTGCACAACATGCTGGCTGGCTGACTGGCCAACTAGCTGACCGGCTGCTGGATGGCTGGCTCTATCTCCGTCTGTTTGTCTGTATCTATGTCTATCTCTCTCTCTATCTGACTATCTCTGTCTGTCTCTATCTCTCACTTTCTATCTCTGTCTCAAAGGTACACATAAATAGTTATACATAGTATAAATTACCTAGGATAACCTAAAAAATCCCAAGTGCTACACTGTGCTTAAGATATAATGCATAAGAATACTTACTGGTTCACAGTGGCTCTCTCGGAGACAGAGAGACAAGCAGAGAGACAGACAAGCAGACAGAGAGACAGACATGCCGATGCTCATCAAATGTCACCCCTTATCTCATCTTATCATTGCACCCTCGCTGGCGCACATCAAATGTCACCCCTTATCTTATCACTGCACCCTGCTGACATTTGTCACTGACACTTGTCTTACATCATGCTTCAAGGGAACTTCTTCTTCTTTTTCTTCTTCGTCTTATTATTATTATTACTCCTGTGTATGCAAAACATTGCTGGGACCTATAAATACTTTGTATATATTCCTAGACACTAGTAAATGTCCACCTGTCAGTGTGTTTGTGACAATTTGACTACAATTTCAGTACCTAATATTAGTGTCAGTACAGAGATTGGTTATGAAATGACAAGAACTACTATAAATTGTAATTATAGAACATAAAAATTATATAAAATAATATAAAAATGAGAAAGAAAGGTATATCGGCAACACTTCTAGCCAGTGGCAGGACTCGATGTTGCTGTCAGGTGAGCATTAAGTGCCAACTTCGTAGCCTCATATCTCGGTAAGTACTGACCCTAATTTTTTTATTTTAATCATATAACACTTAGAAAAATGTTCTCTTTATTTTTAATATAAAAAAATTTTTTTTTTTATTTTTCAAAATATTTGGGGCACTGGGCGAGAGAACATATATATACGTTTGGACTGTTTAGGGGTTAATAGGACATAACATCAGTGAATCCCTGGTGTTTTCCATGCTGTTTGCTCTAGCTGGCACTCAGCAGAATTGGTGCTCCCACAAGGTACTAAGTGGTCCCAGATTTTTTTAATACTGCACACACCGAGCGTTAAGACCCATTCTATGCTGACCAGGCATCTCAGGCCAATCATGCCAAATTTGAAGGCAGGAAAAATAAAAGTTGATCTACATTTGGAGTGCTAGTGGTAACAACATAGATCTACATTTGGACAGTTAAGGGGTTAATATATCTGCTAAACTGCCTGTTTCTTCTTACCTATTATAATAAAATTTACCAGTCAAAATAATGACAACACAAAGATTCAGGTCACATTTCATAAATTAAAAATACTTCCTGGTTAAATTACTGTTGAAAGATGATGTAAGGTTAGAGAGGTAAGGTGAAAGGCCTTGGATGTGTAACCTATCCTGTGACCTCTCTCAAATTTGACCTCAGGCATTTGTTTGCCTTATCCTTAAGATGCATTTTATGTATACTTCATAAAGTCCTGCCCTGGACAAAACATAGAAACGGTAATAAAAATGTCCCTGCAACACTGTGTTTTTAACTAATTAAAGTCACATTTGTAAAGTGAATACAAACCACTAATATGGTCTGTGTCATGTAATACATGACCATTGAGATGTGCAGTATCTTGTATTTCAGGCACTGGTGAACATTCTCCTTTTAAAGATGGACTTAAATCTTTCTCTCCATCTTTTCTCTTTTCTTCATTTATTGGGTCTTCAGCCTCTGTATTAATAAGACCAGACAATCGCCCATCTTCTCTGACATGTCCCTCTTCTAGATCATCCTCATCATTACTGTCATGGGAGAAGCTCTTCTCACAGCAGCTAACATCATCTTCACTAAACTCACACAGCTGAGAAAATAATATAAAATGAAAATTTTAAATTATGCACAAACATAAGCACAATTCTGTTACAATGACAGAGGCATTTTAATTTTTTAAAGAGATTCAGCAAAAAAGTAAGGGTACACAACTTATGGATCTTAACATATAATTTTTTCAATGAACTGGCTGTATCCCAATGAGGCAAGGAACCCTAAAAAAAAAAAAAAAAAAAAAGAGTTTCTCTTTTTAAATTTAGTAATGTATTCAGGAGAAGGGGTTACTAGCCCCTTGCTCCATGGATCTTAATCACCTTCTGTCAACAAACCGGCCATATCCCACCGAGGCAGGGTGGACCAAAAGGAAAAAATTGTAAGTTTCTCCTTTTAAATTTAGCAATATATGCAGGAGAAGGGGGTTACTAGCCCCTTGCTCAATGGGTCTTAATTTTCTTTCTTTTAGCACATCGGCCATTTCCCACCAAGGCAGGATAACCCAAAAAGAAAGAAAAAGCTTACAACAGCATTCAACACTTTGAATTATTACTTCCCAGTAAAAGTGGGTGAGGGGCTTGGACTTCCAGCAAGCGTGCATGAGCGTGTTAGATAGGAGTGAATGGAGACGAATGATACTTGGGACCTGACGATCTGTTGGAGTGTGAGCAGGGTAATATTTAGTGAAGGGATTCAGGGAAACCGGTTATTTTCATATAGTCGGACTTGAGTCCTGGAAATGGGAAGTACAATGCCTGCACTTTAAAGGAGGGGTTTGGGATATTGGCAGTTTGGAGGGATATGTTGTGTATCTCTATACGTATATACTTCTAAACTGTTATATTCTGAGCACCTCTGCAAAAGCAGTGATAATGTGTGAGTGTGGTGAAAGTGTTGAATGATGATGAAAGTATTTTCTTTTTGGGGATTTTCTTTCTTTTTTGTGGGTCACCCTGCCTCGGTGGGAGACGACCGACTTGTTGAAAAAAAAAAAAAAAAAAAAAAAAAAAAAAGTAGGTCTTAGTAGGTAATGTCACCATGGTTGTTTAACATATTTATAGATGGGGCTGTAAAAGAAGTAAATGCTGGGGAGAGGGGTGGGATTAAATTATGGAGAATCAAATACAAAATGGGAATTGATGTAGTTACTTTTTGCTGATGATACTGTGCTTCTGGAGATTCTGAAGAAAAGTTGCGAAGGTTAGTGGATGAGTTTGGGAGGGTGTGTAAAGGTAGAAAGTTGAAAGTGAACATAGATAAGAGTAAGGTGATGAAGGTATCAAACAAGTTAGATAAAGAAAAATTGGACATCACATTGGAGAGAGGTAGTATGGAAAAAGTGAATGTTTTCAGATATTTGGGAGTTGACTTGTCAGTGGATGGGTTTATGAAGGATGAGGTTCACCACAGAATTGATGAAGGAGTGGTGTGTGGGGGTATCTGTAGAGACAAGAATGTTATCCACAGAGGCAAAGAAGGGAATGTACGAGAGTATAGTGGCACTAACACTCTTATGTGGGTGTCAAGCATGAATTTTAAATGTTGCAGCGAGAAGGCGGCTGGAGGCAGTGGAGATGTCATGTCTAAGGGCAATGTGTGGTGTAAATATTATGCAGAGAATTCATAGTGTGGAAATTAGGAGGAGGTGTGGAGTTACTAAAAGTATTAGTCAGAGGGCTGCAGAGGGATTGTTGAGGTGTTTTGGTCATTTAGAGAGAATAGAACAAAGTATAACTTGGAGAGAGTATAAATCTGTAGGGAGAAGGAAGACAGGGTAGGGGTCATCCCCAAAAAGGTTGGAGGGAGGGGGTAAAGCAGGTTTTGTGGGTGATGGGCTTGGACTTCCAGCAAGTGTGCATGAGCGTGTTAGATAGGAGTGAATAGAGACGAATGGTTTTTGGGACCTGATGAGCTGCTGGAGTGTGAGCAGGGCAATATTTTGTGAAGGGATTCAGGGAAACAGGCTAGCCAGCCTTGAGTCCTGGAAATAGGAAGTACAATGCCTGCACTTTAAAGGAGGGGTTTGGGATGGATCTTAATATTAACCCCTAAACGGTCCAAACGTACATATACGTTCTCTCGCATAGCGCCCCAAACGTATATATACGTTTTCTTTGTCATTCATTCAACATTGCCACAATAAACCTGAGTCACCTAGAGATGAGAGAATGGGTGTGTGCACTCACTGTACGCCATATTAAAATAATTGGGGATGCCTTTTCCTATTAAAAAAAAAAAAAAAAAAAAAAATTTCTCAAAAAATTTGGGGTGCTACGCGAGTGAAAGTATATATATGTTTGGACCGTTTAAGGGTTAATATTAATTTTGTTTTACCTGTTCCACTGAGCTAGTAGGGTCGTGATCTCCAGTTGGTACCATTGTGGTACTATTATTATCAGAATCTGCTGTAGAGTTGTGTCCAGATTGGAATGTAAGGGGTGGGACAGGCTCACAAACACCCGAAGGGTCTCTATTGGTCATGGAGGCTTGGCACCGTAAGAGCCAAGCGTTATGATCAACACTAAGATCTCCACCCAGATCCCTGGGCAAACACTTTCCTGGTATGTGATTTACAAGCTGTAAGAAAAACAAAGAAAAAAATTCTTAGATTTTAATATTAATAAAGTACATCTTCAGTATCAGCTGCACATGGAGGAACCTACAATGTACAGCTGATACTGAAGATGTATCAGCTGCACATGGAGGAACATATAATGTACAGCTGATACTGAAGATGTTTCAGCTGCACATGGAGGAACATACAATGAAGAGCTCATACTGAAGATGTATCAGCTGCACATGGAGGAACATACAATGTACAGCTGACACTGAAGATGTTTCAGCTGCACATGGAGGAACATACAATGAAGAGCTCATACTGAAGATGTATCAGCTGCACATGGAGGAACATACAATGTACAGCTGACACTGAAGATGTTTCAGCTGCACATGGAGGAACATACAATGAAGAGCTCATACTGAAGATGTATCAGCTGCACATGGAGGAACATACAATGTACAGCTGACACTGAAGATGTTTCAGCTGCACATGGAGGAACATACAATGAAGAGCTGATACTGAAGATGTATCAGCCGCACATGGAGGAACTGCAGTGTTAATGAAACTGTTACCCCAGTGTAAACATTTTAGATTATGTACCATAAAACTGAATTACTGTATATTAATGCACAACTTACAGTCTGTGATACTGAAATTCAAACCTTAAATGTAGTCTATTACCAACCTCAGGCAGTGACACTGTATAGACACGATCCCTTAGTTTTTCTCGAACAAAGAGCCGAAGTACTTTGAATGGTGCCTTGAACCAGAGTGGTGCTGTTACTATTAACACCTTCTTCAAACGTGCTGGATACCCTCCCTGAAATTAAACCATTATAAAAAAAAAAAAAGTGCATCCTAAAAACAAATTTTGAAATCTACTACTGAAGAAAATTCTACTGGAGTATCAAAACTATACAGCTTTTAGCACACAATAAATACAACATGTAAGGCATAAGATTCTTTTAAAGAGAAATTTAAACCAAAGAAGTCAATCATATTCTGAAGAGTTCTTCACCCCAACATATTTTCTTTGGGTCACCCTGCCTTGACTGAAGTGGACACTGAGTCATTATGAACAGACATCAAATATATTACTTGATGTCATATGCATGTTAAGCAGGGAAGGGTGTCAATGAGGTTAGAAGCTAATAAACATATGAAGCAGCCTAATTTCGTGTTTTTCTCACCCCTACAAATATTTTGCTTAGCCATGGCCTTGTTAACCTCACACCCTCATATTATACAGAATCAATTATCCACATGCTGTTACTGTTGAAAATTATATTTTATGGTACAGTACCATATGTCAACAATTAAAGGACCATACCTATGTGTGTGTGAGTAGTCTTCTTAGGAATGCAAGCATTTAGATTTTTAATTTTGGATGACAGATGGCAGCACCTACCAGAGAGAAATTTTAACTACCAGTCTTTTTGAAGTAGGAACACAGCATGAGATGTTTTGGAAGTTTTTGGCTGCAATAATAAGATCATACTATCCACAGTCATACAGAAGTGCTTCTCAGTTTATCATCACGACCTACTTGTTGGAAGGGTTAAGCTGCTGTTTTGGTTAATAAATCATCATTATTTGAGTAAAAATTACCTTTAACAGTGTAAGAATCTTTTGCGACAATTGATAGTCAAAGTTTTGATATGCAGATTCGCTCATATCATAAATGAAAACCAGACCACATCTCTGAGTCTCTCTGGACTCAAGGGCAGCATCCAACTGGTACACAACTCCCTGCAGTGTTGTCTGTTGTGTGGTTGCTCTTGGGTCATGTAGGCGGGCGGTAAATACAGCTATGGCTGCACCCGTTTCATCACGACACGGCTAGGATAAATAAATTACTTGAAATACTCTATTACAATAAAATTACTGATATAAGATTTCAATGTAAAGTGGAAAAATAGCTAATAATATCATTGTTAAAATATACAATATAAGATATTACAAAGAAGGATAAGCTCCATGTCATCGCTAACAATACACATAATCATTAATATTTTGTTCATAAAAATTACTCTACAGTGATAGAACTCTCTTACAAATCTTTGGAGCTTTATTTACTTAATTTATAGTTGTTTCCATAATCATACATAACATACTAGCATTAAAAACTGTACAACTTAATAATACTGATTGACCCCTTTGCCGACTGTGCCATAGTACTACAAGTTTGAGGTCACTGTCCATGAGCTCAGCTCATTCAGATAAGATGTGAGCAGTAAATTTGGGCCTAGCTATGAGAGAATGGGTTTATGTGTTAAGTGTGCACCATAATAAAAAAAATCCTGCAGCATGCAAAGAGTACGTAACCTTTATTTGGCGCATGTACACACCCTCATTGAAAGGCTATCTCCCCAACCTGCAAACCAGTACTAAGGGTCGAATGATGGGGCCCCATCATTCGATCAGTACCAAGGTTCAGCCAACGAGAAGGTACCACATGCTATTCGCCTTGGAATAGTATATGGTACACTACCAGAGAGCAGGTAGCATCATAAATACTGATGCTTCACTGGGGAATATTCCACTTCACACTCGCTACTGAAAAAGTTTTCAAGAGCTTGTATATCATGTTCACTATCACCATCATCAGCACTTCTCACATTTGAGTCCTGAACAAGGGAAAATACGAGTTTCCTCTTTCTTGGGAACAAAAGTCCCAATTTGCTGTGGGGCAAGGAGTTTCTTACTGAGAGGTATGGTGAACAAGACATACTAAAATGGCGTTCCCACAGTGCAATGCGGGTGCCCCGATTTTTTTCCTACTGCACACAATGATCACGCAGACCCATTCTCTCACATGTAGGCCTACCAGCTTTCTCCTGCTCGATATGAAGGCGCTAGAATTTACGCGTGTAAGTACGTGATCGACCCTGGCAGTTAGGACGTACATGTACATGACCGACCCTCAAAAGGGTTAAAGGGTTAAACTGCATCTGCCCCTTCTCTGGCCACTGCATCAGTCTATTCAATTCTTCCTGGAGTGCTCTAATGTCCTCATTAGAATGAATTGGATGGCCTATTTTGGAATCATCAGCAAATTTGCTTATGTCGCTATTTATTCCCTCATCTATGCCGTTTATGTAAATTGTGAACAACAAGGGGCCCAGCACTGACCCTTGTGGAACACCACTTGTGACATGCCCCCACTCTGATTTCTCCCCATTTATGCAAACTCTCTGCTGCCTATTTGTCAACCATGCCTCTACCCAGGAAAAAATTTCTCCTTCTATTCCGTGTTCCTTAAGTTTCCTCAGTAGCCTCTGATGTAGAACTCTATCGACAGCCTTACTGAAGTCCATATACACAATATCATATTTATTACCATGATCCACCTCCTCAAATACCTTAGTGAAAAAAGTTAGTAAATTGGTATCAGATCGTCGTTGATATTGAAGATGAGGTCCAGCATATTTTCTAGTCTTGTATGCTCTAATATTTGTTGATTTAAAGTGAATTTGGTGCAAAGATTTAACCCTTTGACTGTTTTGGTCGTATATATATATGTCTTATGAGGTACCGTGTTTGATGTTTATATACTCATAAATTCTAGAGGCTTCAAATCAAGCAGGAGAAAGCTGGTAGGCCCACATGTGAGAGAACGGGCCTGTGTGGTCAGTGTGCACCATATAAAAAAAATCCTGGAGCACGCAGTGCATAATGAGAAAAAAAAAAACTCCGACGTTTTTTTTAATTAAAATGCCGACTTAGTGGTCTATTTTCGTACAGTATTTATGGTTCTATTCTCGTTTTCTTGGTCTCATATGATAGAATGGAAAACATATTATAGAAATAGAGGTGATTTTGATTGGTTTTACTATAAAAAGAACCTGGAAATGGAGCTCAAAGTAGGGAATATGTTTGATTTTTGCCGATGTTCAAAAGTAAACAAATGATGTCATTGTCCAATAAATATCCAACTAGCCATTCTAATATGCAGTCATGAATGGGTTGACATTATTTGTACAATTATTACAATATTGCAGTAGTCTGCATAACAGTAAATCTTCTATTTTTTGTTTGAATAAAAATTCAAAGTAGAAAGCAAGAGTAATATCAGAGGGGCCTGGAGACGTGACTGATGAACCAAGAAAATGTTATTTTAGAGCCAGGAATGTCTGCATTGTTCATTCTGGACGTTATTTTGAAATTGTCATATTTTTTAATTTTCGTGAAATTGGCCAAATTGCAAATTTCTGACCACGTTATTGGGTAGTTGAAATTGGTAAATGGGCAGTTTCTTGTACTCAATCGATAGAAAAAAATGGAGTTCTAAAGAAACAGCTATGAGTTTGGTCAACTGGAACAATGGAATTAGCCGAAAATCGGGCGAAATCGCTGATTTGTAAATATCACCGAGGTCGCTAACTTTGCGAGAGCGTAATTCCGTCAGTTTTCTATCAAATTTTAATTTTTTGGTGTCATTACAATCAGGAAAAGGTTCTCTATCATTTCATAAGAAAAATATTTTTTTTTTTGAAATTTTACAACACCAGGAGACACCTCAGGATTGGGGGTTGCGACAGTCAAGGGGTTAATAGCTCAGTTGTGTGTGTGTGAATTTTCATCTGAGCTTCCTCCTGGGATGATCTCTGCTAAAATATTATTTGCTACACTCCTATATTTTAGTTGTCTCAAGTTGAAATCTCCCAGTAGCAAGATGTTTGGGGCATCAGTTGGGAGATTTTCCAGACAGTGGTCAGTTTTCAAAAGCCATTCCTGGAATTGCTGGGAAGTGGCATCTGGAGGCTTGTATACAACTACAATAACAAGGTTTTGGTTTTCAACCTTTATTGCCAAAACTTCAACTATATCATTTGAGGTGTTTAGTAGTTCTGAGCAAATGAGCGACTCTGTGACATACAAACCAATTCATCCTTGTTGCCTGTTTAGTCTGTCACATCTGAATAGGTTATAACCTGGGATACATATTTTGTCAAAATGATCCTTTATGTGGGTCTCTGTGAAAGCTGCAAACATTGCATTTGACTCCAAGAACAGTCCCTTGATGTAAGGAATTTTGTTATTTGCTGATGGCTTTAGACTCTGTATGTTTGCAAAGATAAATGTCGTTATATGAATGGAATTTAGGGGGGCTTTCATTGGCTGGCCTTAATATCTGTTGTTCTGGAGTGGAGGCCAATGACTGTGCCTCTGCTCCAGAGGTGTTTTCAGTGGGTATAAGATTTCTGTCATTTCTTGCCAGTCTTTTTTTTCCTACCTGGCACTAAAAAAATGCCTTCTCTGCAGAGGTTACAGTTTCCCTCTTTTGTTTCCCATAGTCCGGCTGGTCTGTGTCTTTTTGTCCCCTTTAGATGACATGTCTGGCAGTATATGTTGTAACATTTTCTTTCATGGACTGACAAGTGACACATTTCAGGGTGAAATAAGTTACAGGAAGAGGAGTTGCACCCTCCTGTTGTCATGTGGGTGTGGCATTTTGTGGGATGGTCAAAGGTGCATGTCCCACCTGTTTTTCCAGATATACCATGCCTGCTGCTACCCAAGGCATAGAATTTGCATAGTTTGGAATTTTGTTTGCTAGGATTTTTTGTGGCTGCATTCCCTGCTGGTGCATTTTTTTGTTTCCTCACTACCTAAGCTGGAGATTTTCAAAATGCATGAAATCTGTTTTATCTAATTTTTTAACAATTACTCTGTATACATTATCAAAATATAGCAGTTTCTTTAAAAAAAAAAATACAAGTATGACTACGTTTATACTGAACAGTAACTGAATAATACTGTACTCTAAATTGATGAAAATTCTTAAGGTGAACTTTGAGCATTTGCTTATCAAGCAAATGAGGTTAAGATAAAATGAAGAAAAACAGAATCATGGCAACTTACAAGAATGGTGAACTTTCCTGTGTCAAGTTCTGTTCTCAGTGGATCACTCGTTGGGTTGAGATTCACCAGCCCTTCTCTATGTCTTGTCACTTCGTGTTGCTCATATAAACTCACAGCTCTGATGAAAAAATAAATACAGTAAATTATGCCTTGTGTGCTTTTTGGGGAAAAAATTTCATTCAATTATCATGTCTCTGTGCCATAGCAGGTGTGTTTATTGACAAATTCCTTTGAAGACTTTTGTATCTCAGGTATTTCAGCTTGTACAGTGGAACCCCGGTACTCAAACAGTTCCCTACTCGAACAAAGCTTGGCACTCGGCCAAACAAGCACAACCTGGCAGAACTTTGCTGTAAATATTTCATGTTTTTTTTTTGCATTTTTTTCTATATTATTTGTATAAATAAGCCACCATGAGGCCTATGAAGATTAGCAATAACAGCCAACCAAAACGAAAATTGGTTGGGAAGAATTCATTCGATACTTGAACAGATCAGCACTCAAACAGCCTTCTGGAACGAATTAAGTTCGAGTACCGAGGTTCCATTGTATTGGATTTTAGTACTATAATGTTTTATTTTTTGTAATTTATGTTATTCTTGTTAAAAGCTGCCATCACTCCCAGTAGTGTGACATAAATGCTACCTACCTCCATTCATTGTGGTGACATATGTGCAGCCTACCTCCAATCATTGTGGTGTGCCAAATGCTACCTACCTCCATTCATTGTTTACCTGGAGTTTACCCGGAGAGGGTATCGAGGGTCAACGCCCCCACGGCCTGGTCTGAGACCACGCCTCATGGTGGATCAAGGTCTGATCAACCAGGCTGTTACTGCTGGCCGCACGCAAGCTGACGTGTGAACCACAGCCTGGTTGGTCAGGTACTGACTTTAGGTGCCTGTCCAGTGCCTTCTTGAACACAGCCAGGGATCTATTGGTAATCACCCTTATGTATGCTGGGAGGCAAATGAACACTCTTGGGCCCCGAACACTCATTGTATTGTTAGGTAAGACACATATGCAACAGTTAGGTATCTTTATTATGAAACGTTTCGCCTACACAGTAGGCTTCTTCAGTCAAGTACAGAAAAGTTGATAGAAGCAGAAGATACTTGAAAACGATGTAATCAGTCCATCACCCTTAAAGTTTTGAGGTGGTCAGTCCCTCAGTCTGGAGAAGAGCATTGTTCCATAGTATGAAACAATATTGTTTCATACTATGGAACAATGCTCTTCTCCAGACTGAGGGACTGACCACCTCAAAACTTTAAGGGTGATGGACTGATTACATCGTCTTCAAGTATCTTCTGCTTCTATCAACTTTTCTGTACTTGACTGAAGAAGCCTACTGTGTAGGCGAAACGTTTCATAATAAAGATACCTAACTGTTGCATATGTGTCTTACCTAACAATCTGTCGGTATTTTATACCATTTTAATGTTCACTCATTGTATTGTCTCTCAATGTACTCGTGGCGCACCTGCTTTTCATCAGGGAAATGTTGCATCTCCTGCCAAGTCTTTTGCTTTCATAGGGAGTGATTTTGGTGTGCAGATTTGGTGCCAATCTTTATACACTCTCCAGGTCTGCAATGTTGCCAGCCTTGAAGGAGGCCATTAGTGTACAGCTGTATTCCAGCCTAGAGACCACAAGCAATTTGAAGAGAATCATCATGGGCTTGGCATCCCTAGTTTTGAAGGTTCTCATTATCCCTCCTATCATTTTCATAATGGATGAGGTAGATACATCGTTGTGGTCTTTGAAGGCGAGATCCTCTGGCATTATCACTCCCAGGTCCTTCACATTACTTTTCCGCTCTATTGTATGGTTAGAATTTGTCATATATGTACTCTGATACATTTTTAATTTCTTCACATTTCCCATTTCTGAGTACATAGTTGAAATTTCTCCTTGTTGAATTTCATAATGTTTTATGTGGCCCATTTGAAGATTTGGTTGATGTCCACTTGGAGTCTCGCAGTGTGTTTGATGGAGGTCAATGCCATGGTAATCCGGGTGTCATCCGCAAAGGAAGACACGGAGCTATGGCTTACATCTCTATGTCAGAAATGAGGATGAGGAATAGAATGGGAGCAAATACTGTGCCTTGTGGAACAGAGTTTTTTATCGTGGCTGCCTGGGACTTTACTCTGTTTACTACTACTCTTTGTGTTCTATTTGTCAGGAAGTTGTAGCTCCATCTACCAACTTTTCCCGTTATTCCTTTATCCCGCATTCTGTGGGCTATTACACCATGGTCACACTTGTCGAAAGCTTTTGCTAAGTCTGTGTATACTACATCTGTATTTTGTTTATTCTCTACAGCATCCAGGACCTTGTCATAGTGGTCCAGTAGCTGGGACAGGCAGGAGCGACCTGCCTCTTCAAAGTCTTGTGGAGTTAGAATAATATCCGAGATTTTTGAGATGACCAAATTTTGTTTTTTTTTTCATAAAGAATTCATTTGGATTGTCGACCCTTAGTCTGGGCAGTGGCTCGCTGAACACTGAGTCATATTGGGACTTAGTATCTCGCTCATTTCTTGGCTGTCATCTGTGTATGTCCCATCCTGCCTAAGCAGGGGCCCAATAATAGATGTTCTTTTCCCTTAGATTTGACATAAGAAAAGTATTTTTCAATTTCCTTTATGGCTTTTAGTTCTTCCTGTGATTCTTGTCTCCTGTAAGATACCTTCAGCTTAAGTTCGATATCTGCAATTTCACTGACTAGTGCCTCCCTTCGTATTTCAGATATATTGGCCCCACTCAGCAGCTCTGTGACTCTTCGCCTTCGTCTGTATAGGGAACGTCTCTCTCTTTCTAGTTTATATCTTTTCTTTCTTTTTCTTAATGGAATGTGTCATGAGCAGATCTCAAGAACCACAGAATTCATTTTTTCAAGGCAAATGTTCGGGTCCGTGTTGTTTAGGATATCTTCCCAGCTTGTTTCATTTAGGACATGGTTTACTTGATCTCATTGTATGTTTTTGTTATTGAAATTGAATTTTGTGAAGAGACCTTCATGACTGCTCACATTCTGCTGGTCAGGAGCCCTGTACATACATGTCTGTACCTCTATTATGTTGTGATCTGAGTGTATTGTCTTTGATACAGTTATATTACATATCAGATCATCATTGTTAGTGAAGATGAGGTCCAGTGTACAGTGGACCCCCGCATAACGATGGCATCACATAGCGATTATTTCGCATACCGCTTACTTTAATCGCAAAATTTTTGCCGCGCATACCGATTAAAAACCCGCTCACCGATTTTCGTCCGAGACGCGTCCAATGTGCGCCCTCAGCCAGCCTCACATGTGCCGCCCGTGCCATTGTTTACCAGCCAGCCTCCGCGGTAACATCCAAGCATACACTCGGAATATTTTGTATTATTACAGTGTTTTCGGTGCTGTTTCTGGAAAATAAGTGACCATGGGCCCCAAGAAAGCTTCTAGTGCCAACCCTACACCAGTAAGGGTGAGAATTACTATAGAAATGAAGAAAGAGATCATTGATAAGTATGAAAGTGGAGTGTGTATAGCCGACCTAGTCAAGCTGTACAAGAAACCCCAATCAACCATCGCTACTATTGTGGGCACCAGAAAGACAATCAAGGAAGCTGTTCTTGCCAAAGGTTTAACTGTGTTTTCGAAACAAAGATCGCAAGTGATGGAAGATGTTGAGAGACTCTTATTGGTGTGGATAAATGAAAAACAGATAGCAGGAGATAGCGTCTCTCAAGTGATCATATGTGAAAAGGCTAGGAAGTTGCATGAGGATTTAATTAAAAAAATGCCTGCAACTAGTGATGATGTGAGTGAATTTAAGGCCAGCAAAGGTTGGTTTGAGAGATTTAAGAAGCGTAGTGGCATCCATAGTGTGATAAGGCATGGTGAGGCTGCCAGTTCGGACCAAAAGCGGCTGAAAAATATGTGCAGGAATTCAAGGAGTACATAGAAACTGAAGGACTGAAACCTGAACAAGTGTTTAATTGTGATGAAAACAGGCCTGTTCTGGAAGAAAATGCCAAGCAGGACCTACATTACTCAGGAGGAAAAGGCACTCCCAGGACATAAGCCTATGAAAGACAGGCTTACTCTTCTCATGTGTGCCAATGCTACTGGTGATTGCAAAGTGAAGCCTTTATTAGTGTATCACTCTGAAACTCCCAGAGCGTTCAGGCAAAAGAATGTCCTCAAGGATAATTTGTGTGTGCTGTGGAGGGCAAACAGTAAGGCATGGGTCACTAGGGAATTTTTCTATAACTGGTTACACCATGCATTTACCCCCAATGTGAAAGATTACCTAACTGAAAAGAAATTAGAACTTAAGTGCCTCCTGGTGTTAGACAATGCCCCTGGTCATCCTACAGACGTGGCAGAGCGACTTTATGGGGACATGAGCTTCATTAAGGTGAAGTTTTTGCCTCCTAATACCACTCCTCTCCTGCAGCCCATGGACCAGCAGGTTATTTCCAACTTCAAGAAACTGTACACAAAAGCTCTGTTTGAAAGGTGCTTTGTAGTGACCTCAGAAACTCAACTGACTCTAAGAGAGTTTTGGAGAGATCACTTTAATATCCTCAATTGTGTAAACCTTATAGGTAAGGCTTGGGAGGAAGTGACTAAAAGGACCTTGAACTCTGCTTGGAAGAAACTGTGGCCAGAATGTGTAGACAAAAGGGATTTTGAAGGGTTTGAGGCTAACCCTGAGATGATTATGCCAGTTGAGGAATCCATTGTGGCATTGGGAAAGTCCTTGGGGTTGGAGGTTAGTGGGGAGGATGTGGAAGAGTTGGTGGAGGAGGACAATGAAGAACTAACCACTGATGAGCTGATAGATCAACTTCAAGAGCAAGAGGCCAGACCTGGGGAAACTGGTTCAGAGGAGGGAGAGAGAAATTGAAGAAGTTGCCTACTACAAAGATTAAGGAAATCTGTGCAAAGTGGCTTGAAGTGCAAACCTTCATGGATGAAAATCACCCTCACACAGCTATTGCAAGCCGTGCTGGGTGATTATTACACTGACAATGTTGTGAAACACTTTAGGCAAGTCATAAAGGAACGAGAGGTACAGGCCACTATGGACAGATATCTTGTGCGAAAGAAGTCCAGT